ATGCATGGAACTCTGTTTGTTTTGGTACTCTTAAGCGTGGTTAAGGGTTTCCACAGGCTGACACCCGACTGACAAAAGATCAATTTATTGCTGTGGTTGGATAGACTGTTCAAAGCTACGATCTACTAATGTTTAATACCCTGTTTAAATGAACGTTTAGATGATCGTTTGGTGTGGATCAAATATCAAGCATCTGCATCTACTCTGTTATATTGCAGATGTATAAATCAATACACCGATGAAAGCACCTCTCCAAGACGGACTGAGGGGGATGGACTTCATTGAGATTTACTTTTGCATTTGATCACTCAATCCCCATTTATTCTGTGCTTCTTATGATAAATAGGTGAAACACTTTATGCAGATTCACAGAAACACAATAAGAGGCAACATATTGGAAAGATGAGATCAAATGGACTGAGTCAATACATGGACTCTACTTATTTAATAGTAGTTACTTAATCATATGCTTCAAATAGTTTTGACATCCTGCTAGATTAAAATACATGATTCCACTGTACAGTTGCTACTCGATGTAAAATCTAGTGATCTCCAAATAACTCACGGATCATGTACTGGACTCCTGGTGAGCTGGAAACTGATTTAATATAAAAACAAAATCAGCACAAAGGTGATTAGAAAATTACTGGTGCTTTTATAACCCTTTTCATTGGTTGTTATTTAAATACTTGAAGGGCACCTGCAATTCTTCCTGTACACCTGCCTTAGCACAATGGAAACCAAACCAAAATTTTTCCTAACCTGCAAATTAAACCCCAGCAGTATTCTTCCTCGTGTTATTTTTAAGTCAATGGTTCCTTTTACACTCTTTATGCAGCAGTCAAGTCAGAAGAAAGCTGTTGAATAGCAGGTTGTCAAGGGCACATTATATTTTTGAAGGTATATGTTATTTTAAAGAGCCCAATTGTAGTCCAGGATCTCATCAGAAACCTGAAATTCTTCAGTCTTAAATGTAAAGATTGCCAAGAAATTTGGAAAATTCTTAAATTCAGTCTTTTATTTTCAAGCCAATTTTTCAAAGAAATGTGGAAATCCAACATCCAAATGAAGATTGAATTTAAGGATTTTTAAAAATATTTTACAATCTTAAATTTTGGTTTACAAAATGGACTCCACACTTACTTAAAAACTACACTAAATATAGGCTCAGTCATCTCTGGCCCTGATACATCTCTGTAAATATTTTACTTCATAATTCCTATGATCCTCATGGCAAGAATGAATACATGTCAGAGGGAAAGAAAAGGAGGGACAGTAGAGAATATGCAGTAAAATATCATCTCATATGTATCACAAGACTGGAACTTTGGGGTCTAGAATGCGATATTTACAAAAGAAATGGAAAGTGATAATTTGGTGACTTTTGAAAATCACAAAACCCAATATACCTATCCATGCCAACATGAGCAATTTAAAGTAACACTTTCCACCCCCTTTTGTGAATGTGCAAATTGAACTATAATATACCATAAGCGGCACAGAAACTGGGCATTCAGCCCAACATGTCTATGCTGGAAAACTAGAATATTGCAAATTAAATTCTGGGTACCAGTGAAATACAAAGCTTTAAAGTCAAAAACCTTTGTATGTTTAAATCCTTTTGATCTCTGCATCATAATTCAACTCTTGGTTATCAGATCAAGTATGTATTTATCGCGCAGAGAGCTGTCCTGTCTGATAATGTGAAAGAAACCAGTCTAATGAGAATGTGGTTGCACAGCATGAACTGGGAAGAAACAGAGAATGGAAGGAGAGAGATTTTGTTTTAAAATGTATTACATTTCAAGATTTTACATTGAACGGAATTATAAAGTGAACAAATTAATTTTGTAACATTCACCTTCATATTAAAGACCCTTGAAAACAATATAATTATGTGTCAGCCTGTCTAGAGTTAGAAGCATTCTCTCCTCTGAATCAGAAGGTTGTGTGTTAAAGCCCCAAATCGGGACTTTGAACTCATATAGTCTCAACTAGTGGTATCTACCTTTTTGATCAGCCAACAAAATAAATTTTCTTGATTGAATATTTCTTGATTTACCCCATACATCAAGAAATTTTGAATCAAGTAAAACCTGGAAACACTGTACTATCGAACATGGACTTGCCTAGACTGGTGCAAATGTTCGAGTGGGCTACTTCCAGCCCATGGGCCATGGGTTAGCCACCACTGATCTAGACTGATGCTCCAGAGCAGTGCTGGGGGTAGATACACTGCATCGTCAGACGTACTGTCCTTTGGTTGAAATGTTAAACCAAGGCCTCATTTGCCTGATTAGGTGCATGTTAAAGAACCTGTGACACTGTTCAAAAGGGAAGGTGTCCTGGCCAACAGTACCATAAATAAAATTGGTCATTCACTTCCTGGCGATTTGCGGGAAGTGCATTGCTGTGTGCAAATTTGCTGTTTTGTTTGCCAACAAAATATACATTCACTGCACTTTACAGTATATCCCGTGAAGCACTTTGAGACATCCTCTCCACATGATAAGCAGCTATACCAAAGTATTATTATTATCATTGGTTAGGTTCAAATCGAGCCTGGATGTCAAAGGTCAAAAATTGCATTCAGACAATCGTTTGTGAGCAAGCCAATTGTAAAGACTGGTTCTGCTTCTAAATTAGTAAACATCGACTTTGCATGCTTCTATTAAAAGGTTTTGCTTCATCCTGTATCAACTGGTCAGTTTACAAACTTTAATATTAGGTCCAAAAGTAAACTACAATTTAATATTTTAGTAAAGCAGATAATTCTCCAAGATTATGACAACTTGGTCTTATGTGTGTTGATGTTAAAAGGATTCCTTAATATGGGAATGTGAAGGGAAATTTCTTCCAGTAGTACATCATGCCGATCTGCAGTAACTCTACTCCAGTGCACTGCTTCAGAGTCCAGTTCCTGACACTCAGCCTGATATAATTCTGGTTTCCTTATCAAGTTATCACCGTTGAAGTGGCCACACTTTGGACTCCTGCCTTTATTAATCATAACATCTGTAATCAGCATTGAGCAAAAACTATTCACACTCCTTACCTATCAGAACCTCTTAAAAATTTTAGCATGTTTATGCCCTTCATTGCCCACTGAGATGCAAGTCAGTCCCTGCAGAAAATATCCATTTTAATTTCTTTACTATAGATCTTCATTGGTCTGTGTATATATTTGCTGAATGTTTCCTTCCACTGGCTACAATGAACCATACTCCTCATTTCAATGCCTTGGGACAACCTTCCGAAGTAAAAAGTACTACCAATATTCAATTTCTTGTTGTTGTTGTTGACTGTATTATATTTTGTGGATGGGACTATTTCTCCTCTTCAGAAAAAAATGTTTTATGTGGTTCCTTTATGCCTTCAGAGTGAAGGATTGTATAAACTGGACTGTAGATTCCATAGATGCCAATGATAGCATTCAGTCATTGATTCATATCTGCAAGATGGGGTCAGATGAACACCTTGCCCTTATGCAATGCTGCACCCAATAAGGTGTTTGCCCCCAAGTTTATGATATTCACCCAAGGGGACTTAATAAATGGATGAACAGAACTAGAGATTTCTTGTTCAGAACCGGGCTCTCAATGGCTGCTTGTTACAGAAATAAAATAAAACAGCACCTCGATGGGGTTTAAATACAATATTCACAATATTACTGGTAACTGGCTGTGTGTCACGCCAACTGCAGGAATTCTGCTCAGACACATCTGGAAGTAGACCTCGATGGAGCTGAGTTCCTGCAAAATTCCAGTGCCCACATCCATTTAACTCAGGGATTTAATATTTACCAATCTGAGATGCATATTGTATAATAATAATAATCCTTGCATTTGATATAGCGCTTTTCACATCTTCTAGACGTCTCAAAGCGGTTCACAGAATAGACTGTAAAGTGAATTGACTGTATATTTGTGGGCGAAATGCGGCTGCCAATTGTGCACAGCAGTGTCCCACAAACAGTCGTGGATTGAAGTGACCAATTTTTTTTTTGAGGGATTATTATCGGGCGTATTTTTAAACTCCAAGTGTATCTTTTGTTCTGAGCTTTCTGACAGAAAACTGGTTTGCGCATTAAACAACAAAAGGGTATTACAGCACCTCTATGAGCCAAAGACTTAATGAAGATTCAGCACCAACTCAAGTTGGTCCATTAGTGTAGCAAAACTAAAGCCAGGTGATTCATGGCAATACTCGCGATCACTAAAACACAACAGGCTGGTGAAGAGGTTAAACTGGGGCTGTGTAACCACCAAATACGTAAAAATACACTTCGACCTTGACATTCATACAACTGGCCTTAAAAGGAACACGATTAAGTAAATAATGGCAACTTCTGCATCTATATCCATGAGTTAATCTGCAATATTGTATAACCATTTAAGCAAGTAAAAGAATTAACCACTTCATCTTGCAGCTGACCCCTAATTCATCCACATACTAGCATACCAAAAATTAATTTCAAAATGAACAGAAAATCAACCAAAATATTTCAAAATCTGTACATAATAAATTACAAAAAAGAATAACATGTTAAAGTCAACCTTTTGATTGCACGTCTGATATTAGCAGCTAAACAGTCACAAACATGGAAAAGAGAAGATCACTTCTCAACCTATAACTCTAAATGTATCAATACTGTTGCAGCCTTGTGGCTATAGGAATATTACTATAAGGGATATCCATCTACACATGAAGTCTTCTTTAAATAACTAGTGGGAAATTGGCAATATTTCTGTGTTGCATCCCATTTTATTAACCAAAGTTTGTTACCACTACGGGAAATCAGTTTGCAAATTTCTTTTAGCTAAAGGACGGAAACTGTGCAGTGAATTAAGATTCATGTTGAAAACGTGTCCGTATGAAGCATTTGCCAACCCTCAGCGACTGGTGGTAGTTTGGAAGAGACAAAGCTAGGCATTATAGTTAGAAAATGTTCTTCCACTGAAGTTGCTGAGGCACGACTCAGAGGCATTTGTACTGCACTTTTACACATGGAATCCTTTCTCCTGTATGTGAAACATGTGCAACCTCAAAGTCTGTATACTGCTGACTATTCGTCTCTGATGTCCTATTAACGTGACCCCGATTCTCCTCACATCACTGGAAGAAAACAGAATAAAGACAATATGAGCTCATGGTAGTCCTAGAGTTGGAAAACTATTAAAATGTCCAGTCAGCTGTAACCATGGAACAAGCCTCTTTCACTTAGCTGTTGGGGCAGAAAAGGGAATAGGTTGACAGTTGAAGGAAATGGAATGAAGTGTAAATGGTTGGTCCAGCGTTTCACAATCAGTGAATCTAGAAATATTATACAACTCGCATGCTTGTTAATGCACTGACAACAACAAAAACAAAATTATATTTATAGAGCGCTTTTCACGTCGGGAGGACGTCCCAAAGCACTGAACAGTCAGGTGTCAGGGCCCAAGCATGGGGGAGGATGGGTGGTGTAGGGGTGAGGGAAGGCAGAGAAGTGGGAGGGAGACCAAAGGCACGGTCGAAGAGAAAGGTCTTGAGACCGACCTTGAAGGAAGCAAGGATTTACATGCATATTTTAATGTAGCTGGTAAGCGTGCATGTATTGAATGGTCAGAACTTCATTTCACCCAATTCAATGCAGCCGGTAAGTGTGTTGATGGGTCTGAATTTCATTTTCTGCAATTCAATGCAGCAGATAAGTGCGGTAGCGATAATACAAGTTAGGAGATGATTTGCTTTATAAAATACGACTAGTGCAAAGAAATCTAAGTGTTTCTTTGTAGGAAATTGAGTGGGACTCAGGCATCCATGGAGCCTCACAAGTGAGAGATCTGGGTTTGATTCCCGGCAGGGTGAAACGTTGGGCAAGTTTCCTTACTCCACACACCTGATAATAATCCCTCAAGAAAAAACGAAATAATAAATTGGTCACTTCAATCCACGACTATTTGTGGGACACTGCTGTGCATAATTGACTGCCACGTTTCGCCCATAAATATACAGTCAATTCATTTTACAGTATATTCTGTGATGCGCTTTGAGACGTCAATATCAAATGCAAGGATTAATTATTATTATTATCATTATTATGTATGACTTAGGCGACTATCTGATTTATAAAGATAAGACTTATGCAAGTCTTACTGTAGCAGTGAAAAATCTAAGGTAACTGTATAAGTATTACAACTGATATGTTGTTTGTATTCATTTTTAAAACCAGGAGTCAGAAACGATTTGATATTCTGTCTGTGTCTGAAATCCCCTCGCCTTATCACGTCTTCAAGACGTCCCAAAGCGCTTCACAGAATATACTGTAAAGTGTAAAGTATATTTTGTGGGCAAAATGCGGCAGCCAATTGCACACAGTGGTGTCCCACAAACAATCGTGGATCGAAGTGACCATTTTTTTTAAGGAATTATTAACCTTGAAAAAGCGTTCCGCCAATCAACTAACAACTAGGTTTTACTGCTAGGTAATAATAATAATAATAATCCTTGCATTTGATATAGCGCTTTTCACGTCGGGAGGATGTCCCAAAGCGCTTCACAGAACACACTGTAAAGTGAATTGACTGTATATCTGTGGGCGAACGCGGCAGCCAATTGCGCACAGCAATTTCCCACAAACAGTCATATGGATTGAAAATGACCAATTTATTATTGTTTTTGGTTTTGGAGGGATTATTATTAGGCGTGTGGAGTAAGGAAACTTGCCCAAGGTTTCGCCCTGCCTGGAATTGAACTCAGGTCTCTTACTTGCAAAGCGAGTGCTCTAACCACTGAGCCAACAGGACTCCTAGGTCCACAGATCATTCAAGTCAATAGGTAAACAGAGGAGTGTGGAGTAAGGAAACTTGCCCAACATTTCGCCCTACGGGGAATCAAACCCAGGTCCCTCGCTTACAAGGTGAGTGCTTTAACCACTGAGCTACAGGACTCCATCAATCCCGCCTAAAAACCTATCCCACTTGGTCATCTTCCCTTCACCCCTCCACCGAAGGGTGGGTTGGCATCCAACTCTGTCTTTGTGAAGTGCTCTGACATGTTATGTTACGTGAAGGGCACAGCATAATTGCAAGTTGCTGTTGTCCTGGCTCATCCATGTCACTTCAATTTGTCCTTTACATAGGGAAAGCTTGGGAGCAGGTCATTGAAGCCAATAGAGTGTTAGTGGTATTGAACAGTGTGGATGTGGAGTGGATAGGAGGCAGGGTATGTGTAAGGCAAGCTGCTTCATGGGTTTATGGAGACTTTTAAATGTGGCAAGAGCTTTTCTATGGGTCAAGCACCTGACTGACCAAAGACAATATACACATATATATATATATTATATATATACAATATACACATATATATATATATGTATTGGTACTTACTCAATGGTCATCCTTGTGACGGCATCCAGACTTATGAAGCCCGCTGCCATGAAATTGTTCTTGTACTGCTCCATCTTGATTGAATCCAGCCAATCATTTACTGAGACAAACAATGGGAATTCAGGGGCATCTCCCGGAGACTCAGGTAATCTGTACCGGAGACAACATGGAAAAGGATCTTCATTCATTGCGCTCATCTTACAGACATGCCACTGATGACCCCTCATTGAAGATGTTCATCACTAATAGTCCTCCCATTCGTGCATATGAAACAGGAGATTATATGAAACTTATATGAAAACTCAGATCACTTTACAAATATCTCATGAAAAAAATCATTAAAGGCAATTTTAATATTTTTTTCTAAAATATCACTAAATGTTTATAATGTTAACTTTAAAGCTCTCTTGGCATTTCAGATTTCATTATTCAAAATCAGTGCATTAATAAACAACCAATATGGTATTCATAATGCAGAGAGATCATTACATACAGAACAACACGTAAGGTTGGTGTTGCATCAGGAACATGATATGATGAAAATATGTTAAATCAAGAATAATGTGAGAGCCTGGGAACATATTACAAAGATGTGCCAGCCTGGCTTATTTGGAAGCACTCTCATCTCTGCATCAGATGGTTGTGAGTTCAAGACCCACTTCAAGACTCAACTCACAGTTTAGGTTGACACTCCAATGCACTGATGGTGGAGTGCTGCATTGTTGGAGCTGCTGTCTTTGAGATGAGATATTAAACTGAGATTCTTTCTATCTGTTCAGGACGACATTAAAAATTCCATGGCACAATTTGAAAAGAAAATTGATTTTTTCCAGGTGTTGAGAAGTTCCTTGGAATCCTCTTATTTGGAGTGTTCCTGTCTTACTGGGGTGTTACTCTCTTTTATTGGAAAATAGCATGTACCTTATTCAATCTATTCAGTTTGTCCTGGCAGTCAGTGTCTAGGTTCTATTTTATTCCACTGTACAGATATATGCTGCTTTTAACTACATTTGAAACAGTGGAAATGGAATCGTTTAACTTTTTGTGTGTATATATATATTTATGTACAATTGAGGAAACCTTATTTTAATCACAATTATTACACAAGCATTAAGTTGTAATGGGCCTTCGGGACCAAGGTAGTGTGAGGGGAATTAGTTCTGGTTGTCAATGTATGTAAATTCGAGATGTGTCATCTTTCATTGAATATATTTCCTGACCAAAGAGCATGTTTGGTTATAAATACTAATACAAGCACACAGGTAAGTTTGACTCAACAACTGAAAATCAATGAGATCGCACATGAAGGCTTTTATCATAACAGTACTGATCATGACATTTCTATTCACACAGACGATATAGAGTAAAAATCTAATAATTAGAGATTAACCCTAAATGGCAAACAAAGACTTGTACATAAAAATATACTCACCAGAGCCAGCCCTGATACTATAGTGGAGAGAGCTGCAGCATACAAACCAGGAGCTAACTAGTTGGAATCCTGGTCTGTGCTGAGGTTGCTGGTCTCAACCAGGGCTGCAGAGGACTGCCCCCAAATTGGCCCCAGCCTTCTCAGGGACACAGAAGGGAAATCCAGCCAGTATTCCTGCTCTTGATCACCCTACAGGACCCTTTACTGGTTTTGTGCATGTGTGGCAGGTGGATTGGAAGAAATCAGGTCCATCTGTGACTGCTGTCAAATGGCTGGGGCCGACGCTCACTGCGAAGGCATGATAATGGTCACTTGGATGGGAACCAGAGGGTAATTAGTGCCCGTGGATCTACACCCCAGTAACGGCAGACGAGAACTGGAGCAGAGGCCAGAGGGGAGAAATTTAGGAAAAAATAATTGTACACGCTAAATTTATGAAACAGTATACTCACCCATTCATCTCTTCCACCAGGATCTGAAGGCTGCTTGGATTGCGAATCACCTTATCCAAGAAAGTGACAATTTCAGTAAATTTGGGTCTGTGATTCCTTTCTTTTTGCCAGCAGTGGAGCATGAGCTGATGAAGGGTGGCTGGGCACCCCATGGGAGCAGGCAGTCGATAGCCCTCTTCTATGGATAAAATGACCTGATGGAACACAGGACTTCTGGGTCATCAGGTAATCATTAATATATGAAGGAAACATTGAGTTTGCCCATGCAAAATAAACTGTAAGAATAACTTACATCTTGATTAGACATCTCCCAGTAAGGCCTCTCACCGTATGACATCACTTCCCACATCACAATCCCGTAACTCCACACATCACTGGCTGAAGAAAACTTCCTGTAGGCTATTGCTTCAGGAGCAGTCCATCGAATAGGAATTTTTCCACCCTTTGCAGAGAAATAAGGCAAAGTGATTTAACTGTATTACAGAGGATTAAAAGTGACACTTTTTTCTTATTCCACTTAAAGTCTTGTCTATGCTGGCATGAAATTGACAGTTTGATGGGCTTGTTTCACATTCACCAGTTTCTTGAAGTTTTCTTCACACGTGAGTGCACACAAAGGGGTGAGTTGACAGTGCCGAGAATGCAGCAGATTTCCTTTCTGCACCAAGTAATAGATTTAAACATGCACTTTCAAAACCTCGCAGTGACTAGATATAAAGCAGAATTCATCCCATACTTTCTGGAATTCTCTGAGGAGCTAACAAAATTGGTTAATAAGGACAATCCAGTGAATATAATCCACTGGCTTTTCAAGTTTTTGATAAACTTTAAAGTACAAAGCTTATAAAAAAAATTAAGGATGATGCAATTAACAGTAAGTTAGCTAATTGAATTGAAAACCTATCTAGAAATAGAAAGTAGAAATGTCCATGAATGGAAAAGCATGATTTGGGGGAAAAGTACCAATCGAGGTTCTGCATGGATCTGTTCTGGATCCCATGATCGTCAACCTATTCCTAAAACATTATGATTTTTTTTACAGTATATCTTTGCAGGTGGCACAAAACTATTGTGGCATAAACTAAAAGACTTCAGAGAAGAACCCTAAGGATGATTCTAGGATTTAGGCCTCTGAGTCATGAGAAAGAATTTCAAACCTGAACTTGGTTTGGAGATATGAGCATGAAAGGGACATGATCGAGGTTTCTAAAGCACTCTGTGAGGAATGGTGAATGTTGCCAATAATTCCAAGTGAAACTCGGACTTTGATCTTTGAATTAGAGAACATGAGTATCTATAACATTACAAGGTGTTAATCACAAATTTAGATCTGAAGGACTTCCACCCCTCCCCAATTCACCGACAAACACACCATCTGTCACCACACTTCAGAGTAAAATCCTGTAAAGGGTTTTGAGAGGTTTCAACATGATAAATCTCTATGAAAAAGCAAGAGTTATAAGAAGTTAATATGTAGAAAATAGGAGTGTAATTTGCAAGTGTCATCAAATGATTTGTAATTGAAAATACTGCAGGTGCATGGATTTGTCTTAGGTTAACCCTTTGAAATTGCATTTGAACTCAGATGGAAGCCAATCTAAGCACATCCTTTGGTCAAAATCCTGCTTCATGGGAGTTGGAACCTAGATTAGCATCTGAGGGGCGTTTCAGATAGCTGCCCTAAAACATTCTGCAGGACTTGCTATTTATTGTGTGAATTTTAGATCCCTATATTTCCCAAAAATACAGTTCCAGGAAATACCTGCTAGTGTGAATTGTAGAGCACCAGTAACAACAACAACTTGCACTTATATAGCGCCTACCATGTAAGGTAGCATCTCAGTTCCCATGCACAGGAGAATAAAATTTGATAAAAAGCTTGAACTGGATTTGCATTGAAATTCCTATTGTTCTTTTATTTCTCTGTGGGATCTGTACAAGTATTAGCACCTACATGATCCACCTCTTCATAGAATAAGATCTCTGTTCAGTATTTCTGTGGATTCTTCCCACCAAATCCTCTGTGGTGTCAGTTAGCCACTGGAAGCTCTGGTGAAGGAATTACACTTTTATAGCTTAGACTATTTTAATGCTTCTTAGAGTATCAGTGTACATCCATTAGGTTGAAAGTTTTAAAACCTAACTTTGTTTTAGCTTCTGTGACCACATACCACATACTGTAACAGAAGTGCAGCAAAGCTTTATTTCATCATTTTGATAACACCCCTCGAACTCTGTAGAGACATGATTATTGTACTAGGAGGACTGTTGTATACTATCTGTCCTACCAGTTAACACTGTGAGACCATGGAATTATTATCAATTAGGGCTGGATTCAGAATAGTTTTACACAATGTATTTTTCCCCATTGGGAGATGGAATGAGAATTCTTAGGCTATTAAACTGTAGACCTTTAAACCCCAACAGTGCTAGGGGGTCTTTAGCCTTTGCTGAGCTGAACTGAAACTCCAGCCAAGAGGTGAAAGCATAGTTTATCATACTTTTTCTATAACACAGTGCAATCCCTGTTGACATCTTAAGTCTAAAGGAAACATAGCTACCTGTATTTGTATCACGTAATTCAGTTTCTGCATATTTCTGACACATTGCAGTATGTGTAGTTATATATTCTGAGTCCGGGAGACATTGCTTCCCATCAGCACTCCACTGTATAGTGACAATAAAATTATCCTTGATTAGAATTTTCTGCAAAAAACTCTGCTCAGCTGTCAAGGAGTTCTTCTAATGAGCATATCTGTCATATCCTTTACTTAAGAAAACTTGCTGGAGGACATCTGTGTTAGCAGAGAGTTTTCCTTTTACATACCAAATAATGAAAGGTATTTCTGCTAATGTCAAGGGAAGGTATAAAGAGTACAGAGTGTTCAAGCTTCGTCACTTCTCTCGGGTTTGGTAATAGAGAAAATGAAAAAGAAGACAGAAATATCAAAACATTCCCTCGACTCATTATAGCATTTTGTCATCCATTATATAAAACAGGCCCAAAGCAAAGTATGACACTAATGGAGTTATAAATATCACACTCGAGTTCACTTATACAGTGTTCTTTTACAGTTTTAACTTTATTTCTTTTTCTGATGAATAATGTATGGTTGATTGAAAATATTGCAGTTGTCAAGCATTACTCATGCAACTTAATACTAAGTTGGGCAAGTTTGGGCAAGTTTCCTTGTTCCACATGCCTCTGTTTGCTCGTCAGTAATAGGGAAACCGGTTGTTGGTCGATTGGCGGATCGCTTTCTGTGGGTAATAATCCCACCCCCCAAAAAAAATTGGTCACTCAATCCATGACTGCTTGTGAGACGCTGCTGTGCACAGTTGGCTGCGACGTTTTGCCCACAAAATACACCGTCACTACATTTTACGATCTAGATTGTTAAATGCTTTGAGATGTGACGATGACGTGATAGGGCGCTGTATCAAATGCAAGGATTATTATCATTAGTATTACTATATACAACACTTATACTGTGTTAACCATCTGGTCACTCGCGTGGTTTAAACAATATTTGACAATATGTTCAGAGAGTTATGTTTTCCCCCCAAAAATTATAAATAAATTGAATCAACTAGCTGTTAAAACAATTTATATTCCAGCCAAGTTATATAAACTATAAGCTTATAGTTTATTAAAGTGCTGGTCTAGGTGATTGTTACTTGCAATAAAACAGTTATTAAGGGATTCTTTATACTGTCCTAACATTATAATTTATTTTACCTTGTAGGCTATCTGGAATCTAATTTCAGAAAAGTTGTACTAATTGAAACAATTTATTACTCTTGATTACCGAACCTGACATGAAATCCTTATATCCTAGCCCAATGAATAATACTGATGAGAAGGTGTGAATGATGCACTGGAGATAATTCATTAATTTTTTTAGGGTCTACATCGTTCCATGAAATGACATCTTCAATAATATTTTATTCATTCTCAGTTTGGTTCACTTGGCAGCATTCTTGCCTCTGAGCCAGTTGTGAATTCAAGCCCCACGTTGGCACTTAAGCTTACAGTTTAGGCTGACGTCAGTCCAATATTGAGAAGGCATTGCAATAACAGAGATGTTGATCTTTGGATGAGATGTTAACTTGAGATCAAGTCTAGCTTTTCAGGTGTATGTTAAAGACCAAGTGATAGTATTGGAAAAGAGAAGGAAACCTCCCAGCGTTCTGCTAGTTGGCATTAGAGGTGGGTTGTGCTGCACTACCGGTAAGTGCGGTTCACAGAACACCCATGCTCTAAGCAAATGTGTGCTCAAATGGGGCGAGTTCTAATGGGGCTGCTCTTATTTCCCCACCAAAGTATTTGATACGCAGGTCAAGACAGTTGGATTCTCATGATAATTCTGGATAATGACCACCACTTTTCTTCAGGTTATTGCCACTAGGGGACAACACCTGATACTCAGGGTGAGAACTAATCAAATGTACAAACAAAGTTGCAATTTGATTGCAGCATTGCTCTTCATTTTCTCAAGCAAGCACCATAGCCTCTTAACTCATCATCTCAAACATACAAGCACTAACATTAACTCCCAAACAGCTGTAAGCTGTTGATAATAAAGGTTTATTCCAATCTCCTGGAAATGTAGACTTTGTGCTGGGTAAAGATGGGACATTCATTAATGTACTCTTTGCCTGCAGATTGCCAAAGCTAAACCTTCAAGTCAGATGTGCAAATTATTCCAAGACACTGAGAAAATCTTCATTCTCCCGTGACGTTTCAGGATAACCAACTGTAGTTCAAACACAGAGGCACAGAAGCTTGAACTCAATGAGATTGCACAATGATTTTTNAGTTTACACAAGAGACACATGAGAAATGAATCTATCATTCGCAATGACTACTGGCTGTGCTAGCCAATCCAACTATAAACAAACTTGAGGCCCAAGGCTCTGCTTTAAGACTACACAAGCTTAGTGTTACGCTGTCTACTATTTGTTTTAATTGGTAGCATCTTGTCTCACTTGGTTGCACTGTGATCTCCATGACAGAAGGTTGTGACTTCAAGCTCCACTCAGAATTGAAGCTCATAGTTTAGGCTGACAATCCAGTGTAGTAGTTGGGAAGAGTGCTGTTTTATAGGAATTCTTCAGATGATATTCTATGAACTGAGGACCCCCTGTATGTTCTTCAAGTGGACTTTAAAAAGATCCCATGACAATATTCAAAACGAGAAGGGCGTTTTGACCATTTCCTGGCCAAATTTCTCCCCAAATAAATTGTTGATTCAACTCATTGGCTGTTTGTGAGGCCTTCTGCTGTTTTTTTTACAAAGACAGTGACTGGATCTGACAATTATTACTCCCAAAGCATTCTGAAATGTTTTGACGTGCTAAGTTACTTTAAAAAAGCCAGATTTGTTCTTTCCAATTTGCAACCCATCACTGTAGCTAGCCTTTAAAACTGTGCACAGCAGAGATCTCTGAGAGCCAGGCTCTTATGCCAAGTGCATTTTTAAAAGCAGTGCAAGTGGGTGGCTGTGTTTACATCAGCCACTTGTACAGTGCTGAGGTGAGTGGGGAAGAAAGCAGAGCTCAGTGTGTGCATATTTAGTTGTGTGCATTAAGTGCTGCTCGGTGACCTTGTCCTGCCAGTAAAATTTTGAATACAAGTTATGATGGAGTCAGCTCTATTCTAAAAAGGGCACAGAGTTCTTGTCTGAGTTCTTTTTAGCCTTTAAACTGAACATTTGACAGGAAGCTGTGTTCTGGCTGCAATTACACTGGGGTGACAACTGAGATATTGAAATGGGTTAATTAACACCAATAGTACATATTTGTTGAAAATAGTGACCTGATGATAATTAACATATTGGAAGTCTTCCTCTAACAATAATTGCACTGAACGTCTGACAAGCAACTTTAGACCAACAATTTGCAGGATTCTGTCTTTACCATGACTTATTTTGGACAGTTAACCTGGTATACCACTAACTTACAGTTCAGTGCCATGCATATCGAGAATGGCATCATCTTTGCCAGGAAGGGGGAAGAGAGAGGGTTTGCCTACAGCACACCCAGGTGCAACTCAGTGTGCTATCCTGAGGTCACTAATTTCAATCCATGGGTTAATCAGTGTATCAAATATTGCATTGTTCTCCCCATTATAAGGTACAACAACTTGAATTTATATAGTGCTCTTCATGCAGGATGACGGGGTTGCATGTCCAGCAATATCGAGGAGGGAAGGGGTGGTCGAAGAGGTAGGTTACAAGGCAGGACATGAAGACAGATAGAGTGGGGGTGAGACCGAGTGGTAGAGGGAGGGAATTCCAGAGGTCAGGGATGTAGAATCTGAAATCTCGGACACCGATTCTGAAAAAGGAGCTTTTGTGAATCTGACAACAAAACTGCTGAGGTGTTTAGTTTCTCAAAGTCAGACTCACAGCACAGACATGGGTAAATTGCAAGAATCAGTCTATTGGATGGACTGGTGAGGTACATTACATTCAATCTTGTGGCTCGCATCAAATAAAGTGCTAGCTCTTTGTCTTGAGGCAGTTGAGTTCAGCAGAAATGTATGTCTACCAGAAGCTGGCATTGTAAATTGTCTTATCCTCTGCTCTTGATGTTGGTGATCACTCTCTGCCTGATGTTCCAGTCCCTGACAATCTTCAGAGGAGGGCAATTCATCACAATTATTGTGAATGGCAGGGCTTGGAATAAATGTACAGAAACGCATCACACAGAGAATAATAATAATAATAATCTTGGCATTTGAAGTAGCGCTTTTCACGTCTTCTAGACGTCTCAAAGCGCTTCACAGAATATGCTGTAAGAATACAACCATGGGGATCTAGATTTGGTGGCAGATCTGTTGAGCAGCGGAAACTGAACTGATTAACTGAATTGAGATAGTTACAGTGCTGATTGCTGTCCATGAAAGTAAGATGATTTCTTTTGTAGATATCCTTAGAACAGAAGCAACCATCCTCATCAATATGGAATTCCAACCATCGTCATTTATATGGAAAGGAATAGTTTTGCACAGAGTTCATTGACATTGAACTGGATTGAAAAATGTTTGTTTACCCTCTTCCCAACCCCAACATGATATCTTACTGTCTTAACTGAAAAATATTTGGATGAGAAATTAAAACACTGTCCTCTCTGCCTCTCTGGTCTGCTAGCACTATTCAGAATGAGAAGGGAAGTATATCCTCTGTGTCCTGGCAATAATCCTCCAGATTGATCAGTCATTCACCTCATCAATGTGTCTGGTGTAAATGACGAGCACATTTGCCTACAAAAACAGTCTTCACACTTGATAGTTATTACTAATAAAGAGCTTTGGAATGTTTCAATGTGATAAAGCAACTATAATAATGTAAGTTCTCATTCTCTCTCTTTCACTCTCACTTATGTAGTCTAATAATGATTCAATATTATTGCTAATAATGATTAGCAAACAGTGTTGACTTACGGTTGTTGTATACGCAGCTTCAGGATCATCTTCAAGGACTCTGGAGAGACCAAAGTCCGACACTTTGCAGACAAGATTACTGTTGACAAGGATGTTGCGAGCTGCCAGATCCCGGTGGACGTAGCCCATATCCGAGAGGTATTTCATGCCGGAAGCTATGCCTCGAAGCATGCCTACTAGTTGAATAACTGTGAAATGTCCATCATGTTTCTGGATAAAACAAAAATTTGTAAAAGCTCCTTACAAAATCTGCAATTATTGATATGCTGATGAATGGTAAATTCTCTCAACAAATCTGTGTCAAATAATATATTTCTTCTCATGTTGCTTTGTGATTAAAACATCACTGCCATGACAAATAATACAACAATGCTTTGCCCTTAAATACTACAGTAAGATAATTACTGTATTATTATATGATTTTATTTCATAATCCACTTATTATCCTTCAATTCCAACATCAAATAGTTCAACCCATTTTTTGTAGTTCATCCCATTGACTTATCACAACAGAGCATGTTTAATACTATAAATTTTGAGTTAATCTTTTAATCCTTTCTTACCTATGTTACTGCAGGCTTCTTTTTCTGTCAGCTATATTTCATCTCCTAATTCCATCTACTCTTGTCCCAGTTTCTTTGATAACTTTAAATTGTGTTGAATCTGTTTTCACAGAATTGTTTACTTTAATAAAGTGAAAGTCATAAATATGACTGTCAATCTGGGACTAAGAGTAATGGACTTTTGCAGCATTGAAATTGCACCTAATACTAGATCAAATACTGTTTATTAACTGTATTAACTGTATTCCAGAACTCTGCAGGTTGTGTGTGCTATTCTGCACCAGGCTCTGTGAGGTCGGCTCCACTGGCTCCCCATCCTCCAGGGCATTGAATTCAAGATTTTCATTCTCACTTTCAAATCCTCCATGGACTCATCACACCTGACTTCTGTGACCTTGTGTTACCCCACAGCCCCAGCCACTCCCTCCTCTCAGAAATCACTGACACTTCATGTCTTTTTACTAATCCGCTCAGTGGGAAAGCTTTCAACCTTTCTGCCCTGCTCTTGGGAACTCTGTCACTCCCCCTTAGCCCCTTTTCCTTCCCATTTTCAAATCCCATCTTAAAGCTTTTATTTTTGTCTGTGCTTTCATGCACTTTTCTCCTCCTGTCCACAGCTTTCCCCATTCCCTCACTGTACGCTATGGAGCATTGTGAACTCTTTGTCCTCCTGGTGTGAAAGGTACCAGATAAATGCAAATTGTTACTGTTAACTTGCATTGCCTTCCTTCCATAAAAAAATGAAAAACTACCTTTCACCCACAATATACACATTCAATCCACTTCACAGTAAATCCTGTGAAGCACTTTGAGATGTCTCAATGATGTGATAAGGTGCTATATCAAATGTAAAGATAATTATTATTATTTTGCATCTTACAGAAAATTAAGATTTTATAAAACATGTCGAGAAGAGGAGCTATCACCTCATTGAGGAGTTTGTAGTTAAGCTTACTTCTATTCAAAGCTACAGAAATCTACATTACAGTAGATTTTAGACTTCCAAAATGAAAAACAAAACATTTACGATACTAGACATGATCAGAAACAAAACATCATGCCATCACCATATGCCGTTCACTAACAGGATAACATTTCTTGCAAGACAATACAACAAGAATATCTCTTTAAAGGCACATTGAACAATGTCTGTGAAATTATTATCTTTTTAATTAGTTTTTCTAAGCAGGTCCCCATAGTTCACTCAATACTACAGCTACAGCCTCTTAGCCATAATAATTGTATTTTGAAACTCAATTTTTTTTGTTGAGATTTTTTAATGCTCTGGCAAACATTACAATGCCTTGGGAAATATTGCTATTCAGCAATTGACACTATGTCCAATTGTTTGTTAAAATTAATTTACAACGAATAACTGAAACCATGAGTTTAACACAAAGTTTGTTTTTGAGCATTGTTAAAACATATTTTTGCTTCAAGTCGACCTCACCCTCAGGAATGAGTCCAGGGATCCATTTTCCATGTATTCCACCACAATCATCACTGGTCTACCTGTGGATTCAGCAGAACAAACGTACAGGTACTCATTATATTGCAAAAGTTACAACAATCCTTGACTAGAAGTGAGATTCCATGAACAAAGCAGTGAGAAGGATTGCAAACAAATTTAGTTTTATGCAGACATACCGATATGGTCATTTTGTAATATCAGTGAAAGTGAAGAAGATGTACCAAACGCTAGTTGATTTAAATCATGGTACATAGAACTTGGGGCCAAAACTTAAGAACATAAGAATTTGTTAGGCAAAAGAAGACCAAAGTTCTTCTAGTTCGCCTTCCACTATCCTGACAGTCACTTGACATGTCGTGTCCCAAACTATACAGTGTATCCCGAGATATTATTTTCTAGCTGCAACTATCTAATTTTTTCTTAAAAGAAACAACATTTTCTGCTTCCACTGTCTCCCTAGGGAGCCTGTTCCATAGGTTTACTACTCGCTCACTCAACTAATGTTTCCACAGATTTGTTCTGAATTTACATCCCTTCAATCGCAGGCCATGTCCTCTGGTTCTACTGTTCAGTACAAGATAAAACAGCTTATCATGGTCTACATTATCTATTCCCTTCAGAATCTTAAAGACTGTAATCATATCGCCCCTCAACCTTCTCTTCTCCAGTGTGAACATGCCCAGTTTATCTAATGCCCACTTATGCCCACTCCTTGTAGTCCAGTCCCTCCATCCCCTCAATCATTTTGGTTGCCCTCCTTTGTATCCTCGCAATCGCTGCAATATCCTTTTTATATTGCGGTGACCAGACATGCACACAGTATTCCAAGTGCGGTCACACCAGTGATTTATAAAGTGGCAGGATTACCCAACTATTTCAGTTCAATATCGCCCTTTTAATACAGCCCTGCAACTGGTTTGCCTTACTCACTGCTACCTAGCATTGTTGCGATAGCTTCAATCAACTTGGGGCCAAAAATGGCTCAAAGGGGTAAAATAAACAACTTTTCATAAAAGACACTGAAATGCTGGATTTGGGTTGGCAATATGAATTGGAAAGATCATGGATTCTGCCAATGAGCAAAAGTTAGGGGGTGGGGGCAGTCAAATGATTGACCAGTCTACGAAAATAGATAGAATCTTGCAATGTTTCATAACTGATTATAGGACGTTCCATAACACATGATAAAACATAATTTGTCACCACACTGTAATCACAGATCCAGATCACTTTACTTCTTTTTAAAAGTTGTGGCTGTGCTTTTTTCAATAAACTTGCACATCACGTAATGTTCCTTTGAAAAGCTATAAAATAGCAACTGAAACCTTAATGATGTCCTACAAGATGAAACAGGTTGTTGTACAAGTGCTGCAGCTGAACTCTTGAGAAGCCACTTGTGTTTTTGTGTGAAAATTTGCATTACTTGTTAAAAGGAACTAATCTTTTTAGAGTTCACAGACATCTTTTATCTTGGTTAGAAAGGCTCAGGTTCCAGACAGCACTAAATGTGCATCACGAAATACTGGTATTGGCAGCACTTGATGAATCATTCTTACTATAGGTATCAGGTAAATCGGTTATGCCACAGCAGGGATTTAATTCCCTTCTCATAGGAAACAGTTGTCATTCCATTAAAAGATTAATTCACACTAGCCTCTAAACAGCAGATGTTCAAACAAAAGTTTGAAATGCTGGTTGCCAGTACAATATTTCTGGGATGAATAATAAAAAGTCCTAACTTTTTTTGAAAATGGTACAGGATAAAAACATCAATAAGTACAATAACAGCAAAACTAAAATTAGATTCAAACTGTTGAAAGTTTTAATATATATTATATACACACCAAATGAGTCTTATCTGGAATACAGCTGTTGAAAATAAATGTGGTTATAAATAGTGGCATTGATATAACCAGATATGCATTGCTCCTTAGAGCAGGATTTTTAAAAAACTTTATCCTTCATTTTTTCCACATATTATTAAATAGCTTTGAGGGCTTCAACCTCTGCATTCACAATAGACTTGCCTCTGAAGAAGGCTCCTGTTTGTGTTTGTAGCTAGGTAATACCAAGTGATTCACAACAAAACATGTATAACATATCACCTGTATAGGCCTTTGCCTCTCACATCAAATTAGGCGACTTGGAAGAGATTCATGCGGGAACTGATACGTGAGAATCCCATTCTTATGGAATGTCATTTCCAAAGCAGAGTTCCCGCTAGTCAGTGGGAATTCTAACAAGATTTTGCATTGAGAAGTGCCACAAAATCGGCCACACTGCCTATCCAAGTTGAAGGCAGGTTTGCTGTGCATCCCTTAAGGGGAATATGAAACCATCTTGGTTCACAAGTTAACTTTGAAGTCCCTGTGGAAAATTAATTCAAACATGACTTTTTGTTTTTGAAACCAAGAGCTTAAGAAGAATCAGCACCATGGGAACTGCCAGCATTTAACTAAGACAAATGAGGTATTTTAGTAGCTGGGGAGGAAACGAATGGCTCAGCAATGTACGTTTTAAAACATCACAACAATCTGAAATGTATTGTTGACCAGATTCCTGTAATTCATTATAGCAAAAGGCTAAAATTGTGCAAACAAAGCACACTTTTAAATAGCCCCCACTGTTTAATCGGAGCTACACAATGCTATCAAGAGCTAATGTTCTAATCAGGCAAATTTATACATTTGCCCCTCAAGTAATTCAAGCTAATTAGTATTAGACATGACTGCACCATCAAATAAAAAAATAACATTATCAGAGGGTGACAATAGTTATTACTGGAACAACAAGAGCTGACTAGGAATGAGACATGAGAAAACAGGCAGATAGCCAATGGGCAATTGAAGTTTACATTAAGGTTTTTTGAAAAACGTTTCAATGATTTGTTAATTTGTTTGATTAATTTTTAAAAAAACAAAAAAACATGTAAAGATTAATTAGCAGCTATGTGTGTACATGTTGTAGAACATACACTATTTGGTGTTAATGGTTTTGCTGGTTTCTCACTTGGATGTGAAACTAATTCAGGTTAATGCATATGCATAGAGGATGTACAGTATACATCACTGTCACTACTCAAATATTATCGGATCCTATCTCACAAAGAGCTGGCACTTTACTAATAAAGTAAGGATGTCCCAAGGCACTGGTGCAATTCCCCATATTAACTGATAGAGTCGCTTTGTTACTAGCATTCTCGCCTGTAGAACAGAAGGGTTTGGATTCAACTGGTTTGGAGCTCATAGACTAGAGCGAATCTACAGTGTAGTGCTGAATGAGTTGTTCTTAAATCAATGTCAAACTGAGGTGCAGTTCAGGTGGAAGTTAAAGATCTCACAACATTATCCGAAAAGAGAAGGTTGTGGAAGTCTGAACTGAAGGGGCGATGGCGGGAGCACAGTATGAGAGGCAGGATTTTACATAGATTTTGAAAACAGAGAGGCAGGGAGAATGGCAGAGGCATTTAAGACAGAGTTACAAGGGATAGGGCAAAGTAGATGAACATTTGCTCACTAATGGTGAAGCAGAGGAGTCAGGTTTAAGTTGATAAATATTTTACTTGAAATATTATTGGCATGTAATCAATTTACAGTTTGAGCTGTATATGGCTATAATAGTTCAGGATCTAATGGCCTGAGAGGAATTTCCTATAAAAGTAGGTTACAAACCATTAGGTAGGAGGGTAACAATATATTTTTTTATATAAAATTTCAATTTATAAATACAGTAATTCTGTAATTGGTAAAGTAACTATCACTTACCGAATATAAGTATAAGCATGTGGGGTGTGGTGGGGAGGGAGAAAGTGTTGTTAAGCGATAAGAAAAAAGAAAAATATGAATTACTGCTTCATTGACCTGAGCTTTCTTATGCAGCTGCACGTTTTCCATCATTCTATGAACATAGCATTGTGTATATGATGACTGAATTAAGAATGAGATAAATAGTCCAGGATCTAATAGTCTGACAGGAATTTCCTTCAGAAGCAGAGTACAAACTGTTGGTTAGGAGGATCAAAATCTATTTTAGATGTAACATTTACATTTATGAATACATTAATTCTCAACACAATACAATATTTTTATATTACATTCAAAAATCATACAATGAAATGGTTGGTGACATATCAATTTGTAGAATTTGTGAGAAACGCACATAGGTGTAAGAAAAGTGCAATACTTTTTGTTACGACTCCCTCCAAACGGACAATGTTTGGGTGGTCAAACTGGCCCATGATGCTCGCTTCCCTGAGGAAATCCCTTCGTTGACGATCCATATAACCTCCTTTTAGTGTCTTAATAGCCACAGGAATCTCCCTCTTTCCAGGTATCTTCAGTCGACCACTGCACACTTCACCAAATTCTCCTAAAAATACAGATGAAAAGAAGAAGAGATTCAGAATGAGGGCAGAACCAACAAACAAGCGTAGGTAACCAATGTGACATTGCTAATCTAAGCTCTTATTTTTACATAGCATTTTTGAAAAGCCCAATAGATCACAGGAATTGATCCACTATCTGTTGAGTTACCGAAATAGAAAATCGTGTTCTTGTTCTACTGATAAAGGATTCCCTGAAGAACAATAAGCCTAAAATAAATATTTCTTCATGTCACACTTCCTGAATATGTCTACATCACAGTAAGTCTGTGTTATCTCACTGTTATTATATGGGAAATCTAGCACTTACAAAATAACACTGTTACTGGGTAAATATGCTATGTGTTCTATGAGGTTTAATTATTGCAATAGAAATAGTTACTAAAATATTTGGAATGCTGTACAGTGAATTGTAACTATTATACCAATTCTGAACCATGATACATTAAAGGATTCCACTATAAATTATCCAGTGAATGCAATATGTACCTTAGTCTCCCTGCGTATTCTTGTAATTAGAATGCTTTCAGTATTTAATGTTTATCCATAACTTTTATCATGAATTATCCTGGCTGCTGTTGTATTGTTAACATATCACAGCTTTTAATATTGACTAACAGTTGCCTTCTGGTCTATGCTGACAACTCCACTGGACATGATACTGCTGCTATTTTAGAAACCAGGCAAAAAAAAAAGCTTCTGCGGAATAATGCATGGTGATGAGCAGATGATGTAGTGGGTTAGAACTCTGTTTAACTGCTGGCATGTGGGATCATATCCAGCCCTATTTGATAGAATGAGAATCTCTGCTGGCTGTAAGGGTCTAGATGAAATAAGTTTTGTCATTTTCAACAACAACTTGCATTACTTAGCGGCTGTCATGCAGGGTAGCGACCCAGAGCGCTTGACAGTGGCGGAGCACGACACCAAGCCGGGGTGAGGGGGAAGTGACCGTAGGCACGGTTGAGGAGGCAGGTCTTCAGGCTTGACCTGAAGCTAGGGAAGGAATGGGCAAGGTGGAGGGATAAAGAAAGAGTGTTTCAGAGTTTTGGGGAGTAGTGGCTGAAAACGAGGCCAGCAATTGTGGAACGGAGGGCATGAGGGACATGCAGAAGGCCGGAGCCAGTCGATCGGAGGCAGCGGATTGTGGGTTTGGGGGTAATCAGATTGGAGAGGTAGGGAGGTGCTGGGGCATGAAGGGATTTGAAAATGAGTGTGAGGATCTTGAAATCGATCCTTTCAGCGATAGGGAGTCAGTGGAGCCTGTCTAGAACTGGTGTGATGAGGTACAGAGTTTAGTGCAGGTGAGTAGGTGGACGATGGAGTTTTGAATCAGTTGGATCCTGTGCATGGTGGACCTGTGAAGACCGGCAAAGAGGGCATTTGAAATGTTGAGTCGGGAGGTGACAAATGCATGGTCGAATGTTTTGGCTGTGTCTGGGGTAAGATATGGTCGGAGGCGGGCAATGTGGCGGAGGTGGAGGTCCTGCTCAGGGAATCGATGTGGGGAAGGAAGGACAGCTGTGGGTTGAACCTGATGCCTAGTTTAGTGAGTCTGAGGGATAGGCCGGGGAGGTTGAGGAGGTCAGAGCCACAATGAGCTCTTCTGTCTTGCCAACATTTAGTTGTAGGAAGTATTAGCACTACATTAGTAGCATTTCAGCATGCTCTGAAATGTTATTAACATAGCATTTCTGAGCATCAAGAGTTTGTTTAATTCTTAAATATGCTCTTTAATTTTGAAGCCAGTTTTCTGTAAGAAAATTAAAAATCCAACATAGAATTTAACAATTTTCCAACTTCTGCATCCACTGAATTGCTATATGCATTCTTAACCTTAAGAGTGAAGAAGTCTCCACTTGCTCCACAAATAAAAAGAAATAATGGAGATTTTAGACACTAATAGTCTTAGGATTTATGGGCCTCAATATAGTATTCATCCCAAGAGTAAGTTATACCTTTAACTCTTTGAGGTATATTGTGCCTATCTGGGGAAAAAAGCATGTGTGAACAAGTATGTATTGCGTACTATGTGGATAAACCCACGTGCACAGAGGGTTTTGTAGGTGCTCTTATCTTATGTAATTAACAACCAATGAAAAGAATTCATTATGTAATTAACAATTCCCATTTATTGGCTGGTAATTGCATAATTCAGGATGCCTGTAATTCCCTTTGTACAGATGTTAATACACATGTGGGGAAAAATTCCATTGAGCATTATGTGCACTGCCTTTGGCAATGTCAACTAATAGGATTTCCTATTAAATTGTGCATCACCAAAAGGGCTGCAAGTATGCTCCGTGATACATATGTGCATGCTTATGGTTTTACAAATTGTTGAAATATATATGTTTAATGACACGCTTGAACTGAAATATAGAGTTCAACAGATCAACAGACTATCAGATGTTAGAAAATTATTTTGACTAATGTTTGTTAATTAACATAAGTGGGGATTCGTCTGCGATGTTGCAACAGATGAGAATTGAGGCTATACCATGTCAAAATAGACTTCTGTAAAATAGTTTTTTAATTTTCAAAGTAAAGCTTAAATCGAGTGTATAATAAAATAAATATAGACTGCAATTTTACAGCTAACAGACAAATAATTGCTTCTTGTGTTAATGGGATTCATTTGTGGTGTTTCTTAAAAGAATTTTCTTAATAAGGAATCTGAGTTGGGCAAATGTGGACTTTTTCTGCTAACTTGAAGTATGTCACACCAACCAACATGAACTCCTCTTTACCGCAATCTACTTTCACAATAGAATTTCCACATGCAGACGGGGTTTCTAAGAAGATTCTGAGTCAATTAGACAGCCTGATAGTTAAATAGAAAAGATTAACACCTCGAAACAAATGACCTTGATGAGTTGTTAGAACTGTTTCTACTTCTTCCCCAAATAGAAGCTACACCAACCAAACTTCGATCAATTTGTGACTAATTCTTAAACTATGATTTTTATGATTCAGGATGTGGGTGACACCCACAGGGCAGCCAGCATGTATTGCCCATCCCTGGTTACTTTGAGAAGGTGATGGTGAGTTTGTTTTTTAAAACATTGCAGTCCTTGATGGCAATGTACACAATAGTATTATGAAGGGAGCTCAAATATTTTTACCCAGATTGTCCCCATAGCAATCAAATGCATTGCGAAACATGTTATTTTCATCAAGGAGCAGCTTCTATCACTGGGATAAACAATCTCAATATCTAAATCACTTTATCAGTTATATTAGCATCGTAAGCAGTAATGAAGATGGTAGCAAACTGCAGGAGGACATAGACAGACTGGCAGACACATGGCAGATGAAGTTTAATGCAGAGAAGTGTGAGGTGATGCATTTTTGGAGGACGAATGAGAAGAGGTGATATAAGCTGATGGTACAATTTTAAAGGCTGTGCAGGAGCAGAGAGACCTGGGGGTTCACATATACAGGTGTTTGAAGGTGGCAGGACAGCAGCTGTTTTGATGGAGCTGTTTAAAAAGTATATGGGATCCTTGGCATTATAAATAGAGGAAGTCAAAAGCAAGGCATTTCTGCTAAACCTTAAAAAGTCACTGGTTAGGCTCAGCTGGAGTATTATGTCCAATTTTGGACACCACACGTAGGAAGGATACCAAGGTCTTGGTGCAGAAGAGATTTACCGGAATGGCACCAAGGATGAGGGATTTTAGTTACGTGGAGAGACTGGAGAAGCTGAGATTGTTCTCCTTAGAGCAGAGAAAGTTAAGTTGAAATTTAATAGAGGTGTCCAAAATTAAGAAGGGTTTTGACCGAGTAGATATGTAGAAACTGCTTCCACTGGCAGGTGGGTCGGTAACCAGTGAACACAGATTCAAGATAATTGGCAAAAGAACCAGAGGGGAGGTGAGGAGTCATTTTTTACACAGAGAGTTGTTACAGTCTGGAATGCATTGGCTGAAAGGGTGGTAGAAACAGATTCAATAACAACTTCCAAAAGGGCATTGGATAGGTACTTGAAGAGGTACAATTTGCAAGGATATGGGGAAAGAGAGGGGGAGGGGATTGATTGGATAGCTCTTCCGAAGAGCCGGCATGGGCACGATGGGCCAAATGGCCTCCTTCTGTGCTGTAATATTCTATGATATTTGAAAATTATATTAACATTGTAAGCAGTGAGGAGGATGAAGTACTCTTCATCTCCCCTCTGGTTCTTTTACCAATTATCTTGAATCTGTGTCCCCTGGTTACCGACCCACCTGTGCTATAATATTCTATGATTCTATTCATGAATAAGCTAAACTGTCACTGATTCGATTTCCTGAAAACAGCATTGATGAATAAAGTTTCCAGGATGTGTTACACTGTAATACAAGAACTCACCACTTAATCGGCTCCCAGTTTTCTATTCCAGCATGAAGCAGATTGCAGTAACCTAGTTTTAAGACTAGTACTCTTTGTACTAGATATGCATGTTTTAGTTCAGTATTATGTTCCGTTAAGCATGAGTGTTTTTAAATTGGGCAATGTAATTTATAGTAAATCTTGAAAAATGTCCATGGTTGCTGACCAGTTATGATGCCTTATATAACCCACCTAACATTGAATAGTCTTACGTGATGTCTAGCATAAAAATTATTTTTCAACCAACAGAGGCTCGAACCCCAAAGTTTAGACTTGTTTTAAACAAGTAATGAGTAACCAATTTGACATCAAAACTCCTTCAAACACTGTGAATGCATTTAAAATTATGCAAAGTATAAAAAGTATTTAACAGTATTTTTTAAATGACCACGTGACTCAGATGGTGAGCAGACTAAGGAAACACTAGGAAGTAATGCCAGATGGGAAAACAGTATTGAGAGGCGAGGAAGCCATATAGAATAATTCAGGGAAGAGCTTGGACCAAAGCATTCAATGATGAAAAAAGAGATTATATTGAATGGAAGAATAAGATGTAAAAATAATGTACTTGATCCCAAATGTAAAATATGGATATTTTTGAATGAGTTATAATTAAGTCCATTCTAGGTGGAAGAGAAGTATGGCAACACATTACCTGTATGATTTGTTTAGCATTCTAAGTTGAAAGCATACCGGATTTCAATTGGATTGTTAGCATAGCTGCATAAATTAAAATGCTTTTAGACTTGCCTTGAAGTAGTGTTTTACGAATTTGAATTTTTACACATAACTGACTTTTTCAAGCAAAATACAGCAGAAGGCTATTCATTGAATCTCATACTCTCAATGCTATTTTTTCACGTCCTCCCGGCAATGCAAATGTAATTTTGTTGTTGTTTTCTAAAACATAAGCACGTCCTTGTTTCTACGATTTTTTTTAATGCATTTTTGGTTAACTCACTTTGCTCTATGTGAACAGTTGCAACTTTGTTTGACAAGCTGTTTCAAATATTTGAATAAAATATAATAAATCTTCTGTGCAGAATACTACAAGATATTTAGTACACAGTTTTCAGCATCAGATATGACTGTGTATGTTAATGAACCATTAAGCAAGAAAACCAAACATCATCTTTGAATTAGAACATCTTTGGATCAGTATATATCTGCTCTGCAGTGAAGGCAAGATTTATGAATACATATCACATTATATTAAATAGAAGTTTACACGAGTCAAGTCTTTAAACAGGAATACTTGGATCTACTGCCTTCTGGGCTTAATCTATGCTTTCACAGATGGAATAAATAATAATGTTTTGTGCCAAGAATTAATATGTCAGATCAGCAGATTGGGAGACATTTTTCACAAATTGTAAAAATCCAAATTTGCATAATGTTACTTCACTGTTGGCTTTTAAACATACAGATTCAGGAATGCTGATTTTAGGACCAGAGGCCCATAGGCAGGAGAGAGCATGTGCAAACTACAAGTGAGAAAACCAAGAATAATCACGAATTAAAACACATGTGAAAAATTGACAAAGAAATGAAAACTGATAAGAAACAAACAAAATACAAAAGGTATCTTGAGCATGTCGGATGCCTCTTCTACTTCAGCATTAGGAAACAGTTTACATTTCTTGCTGTCTTTTGCTGATAGTGATTATGTGATGGCTGTTTGGAAGTTAATTTAGCTGAGGTATTCTTACTGCATAAAGCTTGGGAGCAAAGCACAAGTGGTTTCTGAAAACCAAGATCCTCAGGTCAAATTGTTGTGCTGCAGAGTTAAAGTCGCTATATTAAATATGTATTTATATTGGGTATAACACATACTAAAGCCTTTTCTTACTGCTATGCAGCAAGCCTTGTGGGCCCAGATATATAGTGCAGATGGTGAAAGGTTGATGAAGCCAATTGTGATGTTCATCCTGTGCTGTATGCATCAGGTGGTAAGCAATATCATTTATAGCAATGGGTTACTGGTAAAAGCGGTGGTTCACAACAGGATTCATGAGCATCCACATTGGAGTCACAAGGGGGGAATCCTACCAGAAACCAGCGATGTGTCATGACTAACTCACGGGATTCCTGCTCCAAAAGCACCGGCAGAAGATAGCATGTTTCATGCAAGATGGCCAGGATGTACCATTGTCAGTTACCAGCAATATATAGATTGGTGAGTCTGACTGTCATTAGTGAATCCTATTGCCAACCACTCCATTGTGTGCTATTAAATAACAGGGAAGCCTGTGGCTAACCAGCTGGATCACAAAGGTCTTTTACAGTCCTGTAAATTCTCATCATTGTAAACCTGAGGAACATTGCCCCGTAGATCAATTTGTGTCCCGTTTTTTTAAACAGTAGTTTGAAATAAAGGGTGTTTAGCTCACTTGCATTTCAGGTCTCAACCAAGGTCATAAGATAGATTTTCAAATATAAATGAAGAATTCCATCTCAAGGAGAGAACATCTGGTATACGGGGAATCACACAAGTGTCTGTTTGTGGGACATTGCTGTGGGCAAATTGACTGCCATTAGCCTACAAATACACAATCGCTACACTTCACATTAAAATCCCGTTTCTTGCTTTTAGACTTCTCGACGATGTGATAAGATGCTATATTAAATACAAAAATTATTACCATTATTATGTTTAAGAGTGTACTTCCTGATGGAGTTCAATATAACTTATGGTGGTGATAGATATGTGGTTCAGATATTTGTGTACGATACTGTTGACTCTGCTAATTGTGGTGAGACTTTGAGATGGCCACATTCTAGATTATCATGTCTTCCTGGCAACAGGAAAATGTGTGAAGAAATCTATGAAATGGACTCTCCCAAACATTTGACAGCAGAGGTGATTGAAAAGGTTTTGTGCTGGACTGTAAAATATTATGAATTCTGTATCAAACTTACTTTAGAGCTTCAGGGTGAAGAAGATATATGATGGAAATGATTGCACTCCTAGATGTGGTGAGCACTGCTTGCATAATCTGTGTATAATACATGGGTTGTTTTGGGACATATATACATGCGACCGCCAGGAAGATGGAAGGTGAATTAGATGGACCTTGGTCTTTTATCGTCTAGCATTTCTTATGTTCCTATATGTACCAGACTGTGCCTTCCTATTGAATATGGTATACACTAAGAGGTCTGTATGCTTGACTATGCCTTCCTCCATGGTATGGTATACATTGACTAAGAGGTCTGCATACTTGACTGCTCCTTCTTCCTGGGTAAGTTACATACTATATACCAGACTGCCCCTAGTGGTTGAAGCAGGATGCAAGGTGGTGAAAGTGCGAGATTGATGAAGCAAAACCGCAAACAAATAAAATGAACACAATTAATAATAAAAGTGAAAATTAAGGATGAATGAACTGTTTTCATTTGACTTGTACCTTTAAAATGAGCTAGTTCATTGTTGTGGTGACAGCATAGGTGCTTCTTCTAGTGAGTATATTGTTCTCTTGAGATCCATGACCAGCACTATTCCACTAACAACCAGATAAATAATTAAGAAATAGTAACTTAAATAAAGAAGATGGAGCCTGATGATTGTAGGAATAAATCATACTCACACCCTTAGGCTGACAAGCTGTGCAGTTTGTCCATTATTATTCAGAGCCTAGTGTTTTGTTGTGTTTGTTTTCTTTAAATCAGCAATTTTGCTTTTACAAAACGTGTAATGAGTCGGGTGGTATTTTCTTAGCAGTTGTTTTGCGATGGATTCATGAAAGAATTTACTCTCACGATCATGACCAACATCAAAACTTCAAAGAAAATCCAATAATGTTGCAATCTATTGTGCTTTTGTGAATTTCATTCTACTTATAGTTGAAAAGTACCTCTGCAGAACAACATTTTTCAAAGGCTTCATATTGTAAAGGAAAAGTCAAGCTGGAACAGTGCTGTGTCATCCTTAATATGAAGGAGAGTCTTGTTTTTTCTTTTACCTGCTCCAATCACTCTCTCTATGCGAATTCTGGAGGGATCTATTTCTTTCGCAAATTCATGCACTGCTTGAGATGGGTCTTCATAAGTATCAGGATCAATGTATGTTCTCATCCCTGGAAATCTGACTGGAAAGATTTAAAATACAATGAGAAAAAAAACCCAGCATGACACAGAAATCCTTGTTTTATTTACTGGAAGATCTCCTCACAAAGCAGCAGCTTTTCTCTAAGTATTTAATCACAGCACAATGAGATAAGCTTAGAAATGTGCAACAATGTATGCAGCATAAAAGTCTATTTAATGTGAATTTGTGAAAGGATTCTTGCTTCTCCATGTGGAATTGAGGCCCGGCTAATTTGGTTTGTGAATTACAATAGGAGACAGATGCTTAGTAATTTAAAATACATAGATGATGAAGAAATTGTGCTGGTATAATTAATTCCACAGTGCAGCTTTTGGTTTGTATTAGTCAGCATGCTACACTTACAAAGGTTACAATCAGAGATGTATATCTGGAGTATGGAACATGGATGCATCGATATTAATCTGAGCCCACATTATACCTACTCTCAGAAAACAAAGTATTTATTCTTTATCCATATATACTATTAAAAAAGACAACTGCTTTTCGTAATATTGGAAATAATTATAGATACTCAAAAAACTACATTAAAAAGCTACAATCCTTGGAAGCTGCATTGTTTAATAACAATTCATTCGTATTGAGCAAACAATAACGTATTTGAGTCCAGACCTTGACCCTTGCAGGAAAACAACCCATATTCAGGGGCAGGAGTGGCACATCGGGGTAAAAACATCATCCCTTGCACCTTTGGGACCTGGATTCAGAAATGGTGAGAGATTCCTCTTTGGCAATCTCAACTCAGTGTCCATTAATTGCTTGTCCACAGTATGAAAGAGTTTACAATTCAGCGAGAATAAATTAACAAATTGCACTCAGATATCTTGAGCAAAATTAGTCTGGAGGTAATGCTAGGGTATGGACTTGTAAACATTAGGAGCATTAAACTCAATCGTTTGCTTCTTTGGGATGTGCAAAAACATCTATGGTTTTACAGGTACCATTAGGAGTAAAACGCACTCCCATTTCTAATGATTATTATAGCATTTAAAATATTCAACTAGTCAGAAAATGAACTTTATTTTTTCCAGCAATGACTCTTGGATAATTGCTAGATGTGAAAAGTGGGCAGAGTAACTGTCAGTGATGCTGCCGTGTAGGTTTAGCACAGTTTGACATTGTGGCTGGTTGATGTGATTTTAACACATGGTTCCAAAGTAAATTTTCAAAGATTGCCTGTGTTTTATCTTTGCATCGAGTCCTGACTGTTGTTGGGACATCTGCGCTAGGCTCTGTGAGCCTATTGCTCCTATCCTCACCAGTCTCTACTGGCTTCTCATCATTCCCCCATCAGACTATATTCAAGATCCTCATCCTAAGCTTTAAATCGATCAACAGTCTTGCCCCAGCCTACCTCTGCAAACTCCTCAAACCCTATGAACCCGGCTTGTAGAAAAGCATTATATAAATTTCTATTGTTTTGTATTGTGACATTGTGACATCCAAATACAAACTTGGGGATATTTTCCACTGCTTTTCCACTGAGGACAGGACTCCACCGTGTGTGATTAGAATAGTCAGAAAATGGTTAAAGTAGACTGAATGAACTACCTTTTAACTGGGTTCATTCTTTCACTGATGATATCACTGGCATCAAAAAAGAAAATAAATCAAATAAAAATGTCGGAACCAGCTTTTGCACTCACTTCTCTCATCCTCACTTGGATTGACTACGGAACAAAGAAAGAAGATTAGCCCATTCAACTCATTGAAGCTGTTATTCCCCCGCACTTGCAGTAACTTCCTTGAGTGGGTGCTATCAAAGGAAGAAAAAACAGCAACCTTCCGGTGGATGAAAAAACAGTAACTGCTCATAACAAAGAAGATCCTGTTCCCACTGGCAGGAAATCTAACAAACTGATAGAGCAGCCTTTAGAGGTATCTCACCTGCATTCAACTTGTGCTAGAATTGCTGTTGATACAAAAGGAAATCAAAAGCATTCAATTCTCCAGGAACTTCACTCTTTATCTCAACTCACGCAGACACCCCTGCCCCCACCACCACCATCACCACTTAACAAAAAGCGACACCAGTTACTTAATGTCAATGCTGATGATGGTCTGGGTATGGAGAAGGCAAATGAAGCCTCTGCCTGGAAGAAAGTCTACACTTGAACACATTAACATGTTGCATTAAAAGCAGAGGATTTCCCTTGTGCGGATTTCATGACCGTTGATGTTCTGTAACCAGTATATCAGCACTCCAAGACGCTATCCTGTGTGAAGGGAGCTATACAGTTGCGGCGTTGTTGTATTTATGTCCCGTGATTCCTACATGTTCTTGTGTACGTAACAGTGATGACTAAGGTTATTCGGTTGATTGGAAAGTTCTGAATTTGAATCCTTGTGAGTTTCCTCAGGCCTTTACTCTTTTGAGGGAATTGGTAGGGTGCAAATTATGATGTAAGATGTGTTAAAAATTAACAACCAAGGTGCTACTTAATTCATGTATTGAAAACTAACCTGAAGGGGACTAACACAGCCAGTTCATGGATTCTGTCCCTGACACCGTTTTCACTGCTTATGCCCCAAAGCCCACATTGAATTCTGTATTTGACATCTGAGCAAGCTGGTAATCTTGCTAACGGCAGTTCCAATATCCAATATCTGGTATGAGTCATATTAGGTGACTTTTTCAATGTATGTGTCGATTTGGACCACTGGTGTTAATTAACACATCACACATTGCAATTTTCACCCCAGCATGTCCAAAGAACAACAGCAACAACAAAATTACATTAAATCCTGTGAGGGAGGGTAAGAGGTGAGTGGAGCCTCCTGGAGTGCTTCTGAAGAGGCACCAATGACAAAGACAGACAGGTCTGTAATAATTCATGGTATTGCTCCAGGTTGACCTGCATCTCTAGATCACAAATGTGATTTGGAGGTGTAGGCATCTCCTCAGCCCTGTGAGCTCAGGCCTTAATGGATTGGGTGGACCCAATTGGATAAGTACCATGTGGCACGAATATAATTTCTTTTTCCCTCAAGCATTTTAATTTGTCGTAAACACACATTGTTGATTATTGGGTGTTCTCTACCTTTAAGGAATCATTGAGATGCCTTTGGGATTGCACCTAAGTTTCATGGTCTAAAAAGAGGATAGTTGGCATTCAGAGTATTTTTAAAATGATAAAGTGAACATACCTCATTTGACAATAAATATTCATCTTAATTTGCAATTTATAAATACAGCAACATCTCTTCCACCATCCCTACTTCTCTAAAAGCTCCCCAAAATTAGTCCAAAATATTTTCGATATGGAATCTCAATTTCTAGGCCAATAATCTATCTAAAAAAAACTTTAACAAAATTTAAATCATATATTCTCCAAAACCGATACCCTGTGATTATTTGAATAGGATTAGGATCAGATTAGGATGTTTAGTTTATTCAGAGAGTGATTTAAGAAATGTTCATGGCTGTGATCACTAACGACAGTTGCCATTGATAATGAAGGAAGACCAGGGTTTGGATGCATATCAAAAGATACACACAAAGCATATCTACCAGTTTGTATAGTAGTTATATGAACCAATCTTTCCCCCCTGTTGTGTTAAGACAGATTTCATTCAAGATGGTAAATTTGTATAATCTCTGCATTTTGCATTAACGTCAGTACTGAACGCTCAGCTGCTGTTATTTGCACCCAAGTCTTCTGCACCAACTGTGCAGAGACTTATTTTTAAAATATTGGAGAATTTAGTGAGAAAAACGTGCTGGCTTCTTATTAGCTTGCCCGCTCCCCAACCTGCTTAGCACCAACACCGTCTCCCAAAGTGTGACTGTTACCAGGGCAGCGAAAATAAAATCACAGCCTGCACCAAAACATGTTTTTCAATTCTACTAGTCCAGACCTGTAATTGCATTTGCAGTGTTTGAACACCTAAACCAGTGGAAAAGGTTACCCATTAAATTCTAATGTTCAAGATTGGGTGGAATTCGTTTTGCCTTTTCTCCAATTTTTCTCCCTTCCTCTCTGAAAGACATTGACCCATACATAAATAAAGTTTGATGGGATTTGGTCATTTTTTGGTATCATCTTACTCAGTTGACTATTCTTCATATGTCAGCCTTGACATTTAATGCCAATAGACTATTTGACTGCAGGAAGCATTACAACCTGACTTGGTCTCATCCTTGACCAATGAGAGCACCACAAACAGACATTCCAACTAAAGTCATTGTACATCAACCAGAAGGAACTTGTTTCACTTTGCCTTCCTACATCCAAGGATGCTGAGGCCGATTGTAATGCTTGTATCACCAACCAGCTAAGATCAGCAAACTTGGCACATATCAGAAAACAAAGCTTAGATCGTTTTGATCTGGCTAGGTATCAATCTGTGCAGTGGTCAAACTGTGCATTCATTGAGGAAGCTGGGAAAACTCCTTGAATAGAGCACTCAAGAATGAACTCCTGAGGCATTGGGTAAGTGTCATGATTTGTTACAACCTGCAGAATTCTTAGCTTTGGTTTCGCAAATTGTTAGAAATGTCACATATGATGAGCAACGCTGACATAAGAGTACAAATCCATTCAAAGGTAAAGCGCAGTGTTTATTTTTCAGAGTGACATATGTATATCAAACAGCATTATTCTTTTGAATTTAAGTGAGCAATTGTCACTCTAATTGAGTGGCATTTGGCCGTTTTGTGCATAAGAAAGCAGCTTTGGCACTTGATGGGAGTAGGAAGAAATTATTAAATAGCTGTGGGAAGTTTCCAATGCTTCTAGACTGACAAAAAAAAGATAGTAATTAATCCCACGTAATTTCCTGTAATAGATGCAATTAAACATCTCTTTGTGGTTTAGTTTGAGTAAAAGTAACAACCGAAAAAATTAAAAAACCCAGATTATGGCATTATTTTGTCCTAGCTTTAGCAGCTTCGCTTAGAATGTACTTACTGTGTCCATTTTGGAAATGTGTTCTCCTTTTTTCCTCAGACTTCATTTTTGCTTTAATATACCAGTGGCACCTTCACAAAGACAGGAGTGAAGTCCATGAAATGTACACAGAAAATCAAAGAAAATATATCAGCCTTGATTCAGTTATCGAAGCACCACACAAATTGAACTTCACAGCGGTTTAAAAATGTCTATAGGACCAACAATATCTTAGTTGGATCAGCAAAAGAAATTGAATGGATTGCTCGCTGTGCTATAGCTGAATAGAAATGGTGAGCACTAACACTAACAAAAGTTACTGATGTTGTGCCATAACATCAAGCAGGTAGCACAAAGGACACAAATGTAAAATATACGGTTAGTAACTACTCTTAGTGAAGGGTCATTATCTGGGAAAACAGATGCAGTATCTAACAAATATGTAATTTTTATTCATTTTCTATCTGGTCGGTCCTGCACGAATGAAAATACTTCTGTGATTTACTATACAGTTCAAAATATGTGTGTGTCAATGCTTTTCTTTAGGGTTATCGTGCAGCTATAATATATCTGCCTCTATTCATGTTTGGTATCAATATGCATGCAATGAGGAATGGCTGACCACTGCTATTATCAATGTAGAAGCAGTTTACAGGTTAATTGGGACCCAGGGATCACTGTAATACTATTGATTTGATTCCACATCTCACAGGGAACAGAATGGATCTACCAACAGCACACGTTAGAGCAAATCTTTGAATACATTTTATAGAATACAAGTATCAATGCCCATTTTGTTATACAAGTTATACACCCTAAGGCTTACCAGTGTGAAGTGTTTGTACAAATCATAGATCAAACTAGACATTGAATCGTATCAAACTGTTAACCGTGGGAGTTTTCCAACCATATGTTCTCATCCACCAACCTCTATAACCAAAGTCTATATACTGTGTTTGAAATCTGTTGCTAAACGGTTATATAAAATAATAAAAGATTCAAAATATAATCTCCTGTTTGAGCATTCAGGAATTATGAATTATTTGTGCCTTTTAAACCAACTTTCGAATGAAATAATCAAAGATCAAACTGAAACTTCTAAGAAACTCAACAGATTGGATAATTATCATAAAGGCAATTAGCTACAAATCTTCATAGACCAGAAGCTTACATCCAAATTGATATCTGGGCTAAGGGAGTTAAATAATACCAGCTGTGATATAGCTTTGGTTCTGAACAATCATACTGTGGACACTACTTAAGCAAATTTAGCTCTGAAAATACTTCACAGACTATCTACAGGTAGCTGAATCAATCAGCAGTGGTTTACTCTTTTAATCACTGCAGAATTAGCAATTGCTTTTAAAGCGAACAGATGTGCAAATTAAGATTGCTAAATGGGCAGGAACAAGCACACATCAGGCCTGCAGTGGATAGGCTGCACATGCTGCAATAATATTTAATGTAAATTCCAAGAAAAAGCCCTGGCTGGACGGACTAATGGAGTGGGGAGGAGATCTGGTCTGGCGAGTGTAATTACAATGATAGTACCAGGACTTACCGGCTTCTTTCAGTGCTGAAAAATGCTGGTAAATGCCAATTCCTAATTGTTTGAATCCTGCGAAAAGAAGGTAACAAATAAGTTATCTTCTGCTCAGAGGATTCAAACAGAGTCAAAGTCGATCTCCCTGGCCACTGAAGGCCAACGACAACAACTTGCATTTACGTCACGCAATGTAGTGTCCCAGAGCGCTTGACAATAGTGGAGCATGACACTGAGCTGCGGGAAGGGGGAGGTGACCGTAGGAACGGTCGAAGAAGACGGTCGAAGAAGAAGGTCTTCAGGTGTGACCTGAAGATGAGGAAGAAAGGGACAAGACAGAGGATTAGAGGAAGAGTGTTCTCGAGTTTCGGGGCGTAGTGGCTGAAAATGCGGCCACCAATGGTGAAAAGGAGGGCACGAGGGACCTGCAGAAGGCTACAGCCAGTCGAGGAGAGACAGCAGGTAATGGGTTGGGTGATAATCAGATTGGAGAGGTCGGGAGGTGCTGCGGCATGAAAGGATTTGAAAACGAGTGTGAGGATCTTGAAATTGATTTGGTCGGTGATAGGAAGCCAGTTGAGCCTGGCTAGAACTGGTGTGATGGGGGTACGCAGTTTAGTGTAGGTGAGTTTGCGGGTGGTGGAGCTTTAGATCTGTTGGATCCTGTGCTTGTTGGAGCTGGGGAGACCGGCAAAGAAGGCATTTGAAAAGTTGAGTCGAGAGGCAACAAACGCATGGATGAGTGTTTCGGCTGCCTCTGGGGTAAGATACGGTTGGAGGTGGGCAATGTGGTGGAAGTGGAAGAAGGTGGTCCTGGTCAGGGACCGGATGTGAGGAAGGAATGACAGCCGTTGATTGAACCTGATGCCTAGGTTGCACACCTGTTTAGTGAGTCTGAGGGATAGGCCGGGGAGGTTGACAAGGTCAGAGTCACAGGACAGAAGATGTTGACGGAAGCCAAGGCTTCTATCTTGTCAACATTTAGTTGTAAGAAGTGAGTGCTCCTCCATGGCCTAATGTCTGCCATAAGCAGGCAGAACATCAGCAGACCTTGAGTCGCAGCTGGAGGAGAATTAGATTTGTGAGTCATCTGCATACATGTGGAAGTTTACTCCGTGTCTGCGGATGACATCACCAAAAGGGAGCATGTAGATGAGGAAGAGGAGAGGGCAAAGGATGGAGGACTGGGGTAAGCCACAGGAGACCGGACGGGGGCGGGAAGAGAAATCGTTTGAAGAGACAAATTGAAGGCGGTTTGTTAGGTAGACTCGACTGGAGGGACTTGAGGAAGGAGTGGAGGGAGAAGTGTGAGCAAAGCTGGTTAGCAACAACACATTCCAGAGCTTTAGCAAAGAAAGGCAGGTTGGAAATGAGACGGTAATTTGTAAGACAGTACTGTGCCAGAGCCAGCAAGCACAGAGAAGCGGGGGTGTGCACAAGGAATGTGGGGCCTGTGGGAGTCTACACGTGTGTGGGACCACGGAAATTTATTTTTAATTTTTCCATTTCAGACCCAGTCCAGTTAGGTACAAATTCTGGATATCAATGGTTTACAATATCAAACAAAATACAAGTTTGTGCAGGATGTATCCTTGGAGCACTCTTTGCTGTATTTCTGACCCAAGATCTAGAATAATTATACTGCTGTTTCTATATATTCAGGAACACTTTAATGTTGTGTTTGGCTATGAGTCATTGCAATTTTGGCAGCTATTTGTTATCAAACATACAGCGCAAACCGAATCTCAGGTCGCAAGAATCATGCTGAAGCTGCTGCCATACACCATCTGGTGGAGGTGTTATGAGGAGCAGTTGGACTCACACCCATGCAGTATATATTAGGTGGGTGCAAACCCCACTGGGCTCAAGGTGCAAACCCCACTGGGCTCGCCTTCAATGCTCGAATAGTCCAGGAACTTTCAACAGAGCATTTTAATATTATTGCAAAATACAACCACCAAGCTCAAAAGCCTGCTTTCAGTATTCTACTCATGCAGAAGTACAGAACTCCAAATTCTGCAATGTGGAGCAAGTAATATAAGCCCCGTTCTCTATTCCACATCACTGCACTATCGGAAGCAAAGTGAGTTAAAGAGTGTATGATTCCATGGAGCTTGTGATTTCTGCTTCAAGGATATTTTCTTAAAACTGTATTCAAATATTTGAAAAGCCACCAAAAGCATTCTATGGGTTATTCAAAGGGTTAATACCTGCACAGCAGCTTATCATGCTCTGTCTGCTGTGTATGAATAGGTTTATTTGCAGTTACTATTCATTCTCTCTTGGTGTCTTTGGGATAGCCTGCATCGAATTGATCATTTCTGATGCTTTGGCTGACTTGGTTTCAGGGTTTGAGGATAATCAAATTTATTGTTTGAAATTCAAAGAATGTTAAAAGTAAACAGAAAGAGATAATTGACTGCAGATAAGTGTAAATTTGATGCATTTAGAAATCTGATCAAATGACAGGATGTCAATGGAGGAAATCTCTTCTGAAAAAGATGTCCGAAGCACACATTTCTGATGGCCAGAAAAGGGAATGACCTTGGTGGTGCATGATTATGATGGGAAATCCCAATAGAAAGGTAAATCTCATTATAAGGATACACTGTCAGGCTCAGTAACTTTACTGACCAGCAGAATTTTACCTCAAGATTACAATGGGATAGGTTCTTCATTGAATTAAACTACATTAGCATTTAGAAGTACATCACAAATTCAGTTTAAAGAACGAAAGATACTGCATATGGAAGTAAAACTAGAAGGCGCACATACTCTATGGATGGTCCAACATTTGCCAAGGAGCAAGTAGAAAGAGACCTTGGGGTGTTAGCAGATTTGTCGTTCACATGGTGAATTCCTAATCAGGTCTGGATTGCATGGGAGTTTTCCAGTGGAGCTTATTTGTTCCTCATAAGGAGGGGAACTGGCCAAGTTAGCTAAGTAGCCTCTCACACACCTCCTGGCGGCTGAGTCCAGCTAGCTACGTACAGTTAAGAATTTGAACTGCAGACTTGCTCTGTAAGGCCCAATGAGGAGAAGATTTACTGATGTATTTCTTAAATTACATTTCTGTTTTGGCCAAGTTTTAATAATAATAATCCTTTCATTTGATATAGCACCTTATTATGTCTTTGAGGCATCTCAAAATGCTTCACAGAATATACTGTAAAGTGAATTGACTATATTTTGTGCACTGGAGTGTCTCACAAACAGTCGTGGAGTGAGTGACCAAATTTTTTAAAAAGAGTTTATTACCCTGGAAAAGTGATCTGCCAATCAACTAACAACCGGATTCCTATTTACTGCTAGCTAAACAAAGGGAGTAAGGAAACTTGTCTAACATTTCGGCCTGCCCGGGAATCGAACCCAGGTCCTCTCACTTGTAAGGCGAGTGCTCCAACCAATACATTTTTGGGATCCTTTTATGATAGTTTGTTGGGGCTCTGTGAATATGTACTGGGGTGACTATTTCTCCATCCTGATAACCTCAAACCCATTCCTACTTGTCAGTATGGCCCAGATCAGGTCAATCAGTCGTAATGCCCACAAGCCTCAATGCCGTCACGTCTCGCTGTATGGGAATTTGTGTATTGCCTTTGAATTGGTTGCAGTTGAAAGATTCAATGAACAAAGAAATAAATGTTATATTTGTTTTTTTTGGCAGTCTAGAGAAATCATAAAATAACGAGAATCCCTCTTGGCGAGCTAGTTACTCGCATATGATTCTATGTTACAATTTAAAAAATTAAATCATAAGGCAATTAAACATCAATGTAGTTTAGGATTAATTTCCCTAATATAAAAGCACCCAGGTTGAAACACATTTCTGTGAAATTATAGCTTCATAACTAAGGGCTAAACAGCATTAATCTTCCTCTGAAACAAAACCTTGTCAGGAATAGAGAAGATTGCGTAACCCTTAAAATCCTAATGGGATCCAAAACACCAGGAATCTCTAATTAGATTTCTTGATAAGGAATTTAAGTAGGGAATCCTTTGGGTAACTGTAAATATGCAATGCATTGTAGGATTTTTCAAACAAGAGTAAATCACATCGGGTTGAGTTCCTTTGCATTGGCAAAGGATGCACTTCCACTTCCCTTATTAAGGAATCCTGTCAGCAACCACCAATTATTGGATCACACTATCAGTATGCACTTTAGTCTATCCTGCAATGTAAGGCGTGAAAAATCAAAGCTTATCCAGGTGTTTGCATGAAGCAGCAAAATGTAGCTGATAACAATTTTTGTTTTAGTATTAATTTTTTAGATTGGTGCTCACAGTTTTTAATCTAACCAGTAGGAACTAAAGGTCAATATTAATCTCCTCTGAAATCAGTTAAAGGCTATCCTGCTCATATACTGTATAGAGAGGAACTAACCCCAGGGACCCATGAAGCCTGCAGCCACAGGGAGTGCTAATATTGGAAGGGTCCCAAAAGTACTGAAAAATTTATAAAGAGAAAATTGAAACTCATGAGTGAAATTCAAATAAATTTCCTCAGACTACAGACCTACAGAAATGTAAGGCTTCCACTAAATTAGCATCAACTTCACCTATGACCTACATCTTATCTTGCAAAGGGGCTTGGTAATCCGAATGCTAATATGGACGAGAAAACTGTGTGGAAAAAGACCCATTGATTTCTGAATGACAGCTGAAACATTACATGGACCTGCATGATGCCACACAACATACTGTGAGATACGATTTTTGTCAAATGTGTCTAGATGAGTAAATAGCCCACATGCTAATGCACTGATACACTCTTACAAGGTCATCTTTAACAATCCAATACAATAATGTGAGTTGTATTGAGCAGGTTCTTTTTAACCCTTAATGCTCCATTCATCAGAGGTGATTTCCTATTTTGGTGTATGAAACGTTGTACGGTTCACCAGAATGATACCAAGGCATAAAGGGTTAAATTATGAGGACAGGAGAAAATTTAAGTAAATTCTATCCACTGGACAAATGTCATCCATTTGTTTAGTTATGTAGCCAAAGAATTCCCAGTAGATTTGAGAGTCATGATATTGTGTATTGTGTCTGGATCCATGCTGAATGCAATTTATAATATTTTTAGATGCACATGACCAGAATCCTATACAATCCTCTCAAGCGTCTTTTGCCCTAAAGTTGTGCGAAACTGCCTGACTTCTTCAAAATCATTTTATGCAGCAATATTCAAACCACAAATCAGTTAACGTTAGAAAGCAGAATAAAACAGAACTCATAAAAATATTTAGAACAAAACATTTGCCCAAGCTAGACATGACATCAAAGGGGGCTATTAGCAATGAATCAAAAATACCATGTTCAGAACATATATTACCTTCCAGTGATTAAGAAGAACAAGGTAAGGATGACCAGAAGAGTAAATCCTCCAACTGCAGCAGTCGCTATGACCAAAACCTGGCCTTGTTCTGTGGCAATATCAGATGCTGAAATAGAAATGAGGGTAAATTGAGATACAGAATAACATTTATATTTAGAAGAAATATTCATATATGATGTAAAGTTACTTTCTAAACAACGTTTACTACCCAAATCAACAATTCTGGCAAAATGATAACAGGGTCTAATTTGTGAGATTCACAAATGGATTGTAAATAGAGGATCCACTTGGATCTGACTCTGAAACCAGTCAGACATTGATCATCTGTTGAGCACCTGGAGACTCCTTTTGCTACAATGTGGCTTCACTAAAGCAGAAACCGAGATTGTCGTGCAAGAGGAGCACCAGAAGTATAACTAAAGACACATCTGGGTACCAGCAGAATTTGTAGATTGGACACCTGTGTATTTAAAAAGTAGAGAACAACAGATACCAGGGAGGGTGATAGATGTTGATAAGAACATAATAAAGCATGAAATCAAAAACAGCCACAACTCTCCAAATGGGAAGGAGTTTTGCATGGACATTTCTAATATGTTAATGTTCTAAAGAGCAAGCATTTCCAGTAAGCCATTGTTTACAAAGATTACAATTTTAGAACTTGATATTTAAAATCCCAATAACTTCAAGAAGGATTCAAGATGCTGTGTGCAATTGGCTGCCGCATTTCGCCCACAAAATATAGGGTCAATTAACTTTACAGTATATTTTGTGAAGCGCTTTGAGACAAGCTGGGAATTGGAATCAAGAGGGTCGAAGGGTAAGGGGAGTGGGAGTGTGGCTGAAGTCAATTCAAGGCAATCTCCATTTGTCAGTGCTGTTGTTTTGATTTTACTCCACAGATAGTAGGGAATGCCATTGGGGATTAAAGTCAAACTTGAAAGCTTCATTACAATATTTTGTTTTCATTTCTTTTAATTTTCCATTTAGGAAATAGAAGATTCACTTTCAAAAATTACTGACAATACTACCAGGAATGAATAACCATGATTCACATTGGATCAAATTGTTTGAAAACTGTTGACAATGAGTTTTGATCTTTTTCCCTGGCATCTGTAAAAACCTCAATTGCAGTGAACAGATTAAATTTTTATATCTTTCAAATGGCCCAGCTACTTTACAAATAGGTACAGTGCAGTTACATGATACTGGATCACTCTGAATTTACCCAAAGAGATAATTTATCCCAAACATGTGAAAGGCAAGGCATCCCAGCAATGCACTTAAACCGCATTCCAAGAAACACTTCTCTCCTCAAACAGCTATACCAATATCCCACTGGATGCAAGAGCCAAGGTAGATTCCTTGCAGTGCTCCTGAGGTTTGATAATCATGGCACACGCTATTGCTAATTGCCTCACACTATCTCTGCTATATCAATCAAGTCACAGATCATTTTGTGTGTGGATGCAATACTTTATCTGTTTTGCTATGCTGACATTCTATACAGCTTAATCCCTGGAATTTCAATCTCTTGATGTCCTGGTGTAACTCTCTCTTATTCCAATTACAAAATTCTTACAAAATTGTTCAATAATAAAGTAATCAGGGGATTTTTAATTGGACAGCAATTATGTCCCAGAAACAAACGCTGCTAACTGTTTTCTTTAAAAAATACAAAATTCATACCTAAAATGGTTAAAAAGCGCTTGCAAATAAATCAGGTGAAATCCTTATGATGATGGCTGGCATTTTCAACAGGTAAAGTGCTCACACATTTTCTACCGAGTTAAAAATAAAGGGTTAGACAATATACTAATATAAGTATGTTTATTTTAGAGTAAATTACAAGATGCATATCACCCAGTTAACCCTAAAAGAAAGTTTTGAAGACAAAGAAGAATTTATCTTTTCTTCAACGACACCCACATTCACAGATAAAATGCAAAAAGAACGCCTGACACCGAGCCGGTGGGAAGTGACTATAGGCACAGTCGAATAGGAAGGTCTTAAGGCATGATTGGAAAATGGGGAAGGAGGGGGTAAGGTGGAGGGAATGAGGGACATGCAGGAGGCCGGTACAAGCTGAGTGTAGGTGGCAGATGGTAATGTGGGGAATAAGAATGTTGGAGAGGTAGGGAGGTGCCAGGGCGTGAAGGGATTTATTGTCAAGTGTAAGGATCTTCCATTCTGTGATAATAATAATAATCCTTGCATTTGATACAGCGACTTATCACATCTTCGAGACATCTCAAAGCCCTTCACAGAAAGTGAATTGACTGTATATTTTGTGGGCAAAATGGGGTAGCCAATTGCACACAGCGGTGTAGCACAAACAGTCGTGGATTGATTAATTTTTTTTAATTGAAGGAATTATTACCCCCGGAAAAGCAATCTGCCGATCGACTAACTTACTGTAAGATAAATAGAGGCATGTGGAGTAAGGAAAATTGCCCAACATTTCGCTATGCCGGGAATCGAACTCATATCTCTTGCTTGCAAGGTGAGTACTTCAACCACTGAGCTATAGGACTCCACAGGAGCAAGTGGAGCCTGGTGAGGACTGGTGTGATGGGTTGCGGAATTTAGAGCAGGTGAGTACACAGGTGGCGGTGTTTCGGAGCAGTTGGAGCAGTAAAAATTGGATTTTGTAAAGCTGAGCTTCCTTAGTGCTTGCGGGCACCAGCATAGCTCACTGAACTTTCAGATTAAAAAAGAAAAATCTTCACAGCTGTTTTGACTGCCTTTACTTCACTTGATCTTCCGTCCATCAGCAATCAGACCCTCCAGCAGAGTTGTGAGATTGGTGACAGCAGGACAGAGCAAAGAGACAGAGTGATAATACTGAATGGAACAGCAAAGGAGTCATTACTGGATACGTGCCATGATTATCTTAAAGGCAGACTGCCGAATAGATTATAAAAATGAAAAGAATCAGAAATGAGGGCTTTAAAAACAAATTTGCTAATTTTAGGGATTTTGGAGGAAGAGAAATTCAGATATGCAAATTCTCTCAATTACTGCATTCGATCAAGATGTTGTGGCTTGCGAATATTATTTCCTTACCCAAAAGTTCACGCATAACAACCCTTGCTTTTGAGAACCCGTGGGAACCTCTCCAGAGCTCGAGATTGGTGGGAGCAATGCTTCCAATGTATGGGGATCAAATTGTTCCACTATCATTGGCGAAGTTGATGGGTTGCTGTGCTAAAAACTCACAACTATCACAGTAAACAATCTGCCCAACCATCAAAATAGGTTTATTCTGTAATAATTTTCTTACTTATGCTTATTTATAAAAGAAAATTTTAAAATGAACATACAGTTTAAAAATGTTTATCAGTGCTTGGCTTCCCTATTAAGATTTTATTCTTATTTGAACTACTTTCTACCTTTATATTTATATTACATTTATACCTTTATATTTGACTGTCCTTTTAAAAGCATCCATTTTATTTCTCTGGTTTCCAGAAACAATTTTGGAAGAAGGAAGCAAACTTTTTTGAAACCAAAATCACAAACTTCCTAGCAGTGTGAGTATATTATTTTCTACTTGTTAAATTTAAGAATCTAGACAGAGTGCAATTCTACCACCATTTTCCATTAGATTTTGTAGTATAGTAAACGCCCAAGGTTGATTATTCTCTGCTGCAAGCAGGAAGTCTGAGCTTCCACACTGCCCACAAGACAGAACATACCTTCTTAACTGACAGTTCATTTAATTAAACTTAGTGTCTTTTATTTTGTTTCAAATACAGTTCGAGCAATCTTATCAACGAAGATGTTTGTTAAATTCATTAATTGTTCTAGTTTAAAGATTAATAACAGTCCTACATTGGGCATAGGGCCAACCACGTGCCCAAAATAGGCTGTATAAACAAAGGTCACAACAGAGGAGGAATGTTTAAGGCACCTTCACCTTCAGAAAGCAGACCTAAACCAATCAGATTAGGCCATCTCTTCAGCTACATAATGGGGCTCACACAGTGTTGTCTGTGGGCCTCAATTCACCTTTGCTCTCTACTTCTGTGTAACTGGCTCCTTCTGAACTCCAGGGAAACCTGGAAGGAGTTAGTCAGTTTGCTGTCCATTGAACAGGTGATCAAACACATGTTACCTGAAAGCCTCTAGGTCCGTCTGCTTTGGAAATAGCTATTAAGAACATTGCAGACAGCTCAGCTTCTACAATGTTGTTCACTGCTTAAGGGTGCAGAGCTGATAGATTTTATATTTGATCTTCTTGCTGTTAACAAAAGACTCGGGAAACTATAATCGTGCACAAATCATTTTTATACAAAGTGAACAATAAACAAAAATGAAACTATGTACAATATTTACACTCTACAACTGTATGTCCATCTTCGGTGTGCTATGGTATGTGTTTCTTTTTCCTAGCCCTCACCCATTGGCTTCTCAACAGAGATTGTTTACTAGTTTGATTCTAGGATTTCACTATGTGAAAGGAGGGAGAGAGAGAGAGAGGTGCCTTCAATAATCTTTCCTCAGGCGGAAAAGGGGAAGAGGGAAGAGGAAGCAGAGAAGAGTGGTGGCACCTTGACACTTTCTGGGTCAGGTGTACATAGCCCCTTTGAGTAGGGTCGGAGATGGCTTAGGACGTTGTGGATCTTCATCCTGGAGATCTCGAAATACCATCTGAGTCTCCTCCAACAGTTTGGATGGAGAAAATGCCAGGAGGCTCACTCCTTCGTGGAATTTTCTTGGGTCTCTTGTGAGGTTGGCACAAGTGACACATCACTGCCATCCTCTTCCCATTAGAGTGTTGAAGAAGACAATTATTGGGACAGAGGTTGCTGTCTACTCCCCTCTGCCACGATTTGGCATGCCACTAGTGAACAATGTCTTGACAATGTCTTGATGGAAATAGGCATCTGAGGAGAATTCCACGACTTATGTTAATGCTCCCTGCAAAATATTCAGGGTACGTTAAAATCACTCTGCACCACAAGCTTCTCTATTCATCAGCTCTCTGCCCTCTTCAATGTTCTTGGAGGTTCTCCCAATCTTCTGGTTCCTTTTCTTCTGCGTGCACTTCCTTTCCTTCGTCGCACTGACTCCCGCATTAGTTCGTGACTCACCTTGTGTCCG